TAAATGTGACAGCGCCAATCCTCCACGTCCAGGTAGTACCCAAGGCCCTGTTTTTCCCTACAGTGGACCTCTCTCTTTTCTATGCCACGACCACAAGGTGCAGAGCACTGAGAACATAGGCAAACATACATAGGCAAACCTTTCATGTCTTTTTCATTTTTCCTGTTTGTATGATTTTTTTCTGTACCCCGGTATTGATACCATTTTTAAAACAATTGTAGTACTTTTAGACAAATAGCCTTATTCCCCCTGTAGTTTAATTCTGAGTAAAACTCCACCATGGAATTATTGAATAACATGCCAAGAAATCTCACAAAGTCCCATGAAAAGTTAATTTTTCATGTGGAGTGAATACTGAAAAAGTTGAACTTAAAGAATTAACAGGAGAACTTAATGTTTTCATTAGTGTTTTCTGTATATAGTCACAATAACTTCGAGAAGTGGTCCCAGGACTGTTCCTTGGGAAACACCTGCTGCTACTTGAACTTGAACAAATTGAGCAATTTCACAGTTTGCAAGTTTCACTGCCCCTTGCACTGATGGGCTACCACCCACCTTGTGCATGTTGCTCAGTTAACTCACGGCACTATTAAAGAAACCCACCTCGCCCCATGGTCCTACGTTCCATTCAGGAGAACACGGAATATCATTACAGCTGATCTCTGTTGGGGGTCTGGGCTCCTTGCACTCTTCCTCTCGAACCCTGACTGCTGCCTGGTGGTGGGCCAGCTGAGACCTAACACAGGTGACCTTTTGTCTTTCCACCCCTCCCCCGCAGGTAGCAGAGCAGCCCGATATGGTCTCCACCTCCCACCTAGACACATTTAAAGGTTAAAGTTGATGATAGTAGAATGCTGTAAATGTGGTATATAGTCAAACCTGCCTATGTAGCCACCTCTCCTTCCAACCACCCGGCCTTAACAACCACCATTTCCTGGTCCTACATCCTATTTTTCTAGCCTCCTTCGCAGTCTTGTTGGGCGTGGGCGTAATTTTTTCTCTGAGCGACGCGAGTAATATGCCGCCGCGAGGGACGATTTGCTGCCGAGGGACTTTGGCACGGAGAGAAGGTTTCCGTGCTCCAACAAGACTGCTTCCAATCGGCGAGTAGAAAGGACCTCGGATTAAGCCAGCCTTTCATAGAGGCTATTAACATGTTCGTGCAGGTCCTATTCACATGTTCGCGCAGGTCCAATTCACATGTCCGCGCAAGGGTAATTCACACATACGCATGACACGCGCTCGCCTTTGTCAACGGTTGGTTTTATTAGTGGAAGGGTCCAACAGAGAAAGAGCGAACATTGGTAATGTTACAACAAAGGCATTGCTGTGCATATTTAAGCATCCCATGCAAACAAACCAAGACAGACTTTGCAGTACTATTTTTGCTGGTGAAATGTGCCATTCTTTCTATTACGCAACTTGCTGTGGAGCGGTGTGTTACCCTCCCTTGACCAGTGAGATCAACCCGCCACCAAACAACATGGCGGCACTTTGTTTATCTGTCCACGTCCCCCTGCAATATCACAGTTTAGCTTGCGGGTTCCTGTGGTAGTGATCTGTTATTTTTCGTAGCAGCAATGTATAAATAACTACGGGATTTTGTTGAGTGGATAGGGCTCGGTTTTCGGGAATGGTTGGCGTTCTACCGATGGGTTGATCGGCTACCGCTAGAAAGTTGCAAGTTTTGGCTCGTCTCCCTGCACTGGTGGCGTTTATTGCGGAAAGTTCACACATCCATGCCAATCGCTCCTAATTGTTTTTTGATAGCCCTTTCTACTCGCCGATTGGAAGCAGTCTTGTTGGAGCGCGGAAACCTTCTCTCCGTGGCAAAAGTCCCTCGGCAGCAAATCGTCCCTCGCGGCGGCATATTACTCGCGTCGCTCAGAGAAAAAATTACGCCCACGCCCAACAAGACTGCGAAGGAGGCTACTATTTTTCCTTGGTTCATTAAGCAATCTGCCCACTCAGGGGACCGAGGCAAATTGATCTTGGACAGGTGCCCTTCTTGTGCAGGACTCACTTGAAGAAGCTATCTACATCATTAGACATCATAACCATACATCCCTCTAGAGATGGGGGTGCAAATGGTGACATCAATAGGTGGTGGATTGCTCATTCCTTGACAAAGACTGGAGTTGAACATTGAAAAATGTGGGTATATCATAAGTCCAATTTTTTTTGTATTGGAAATCACAGTTCAAAGCTGTTTCAGAATAACTTCTATCAACACAGAATCAATATGAACTTTCAAACTTATTTCCATTTTCCCTATA